TAACATTATATCCACTCAAATCAAAAGAAACTTATTGGAACGGTTTCGATCAGTTCGGCAATTGATGGAATACAATGAATTTGTAAGGAGATATTTCCGAAAATGTCACGTTGACATTTTACCTTGAAAAGGTATGTGAAATTAGAATGTAATTAATTCTTTTGCAACTGTACTAAAGTACGTGTATTAACAGTGAAAGATATGGAAATGTTCATCCCTGTGGTCAACGTACTCAATGTTGAAGGTAAAGTAACTGAATACTTTAACAGTACCTTATCTGAGGAGCTACACATACATACATCAGGATATGCTTTGCTGAGATCGTTTGGCGACCATACTGGCTGCTGATCTCACTACATTAAAACCGAGATTAAAATGGTTAGGTGGATGGAAGTTCTCAGCTGTTGCCGAAAGTGATTTGTTACATAATTTTATTGTCATTTCCCTTTAATAAAATGGTTGTTATGTATAAGTGGTTGCTAACGATTAATGGTTGCTAACGATTAATAAGCTTCATCATTGTACTCGTCACTAAGGAGTAATTTATATTGTTATAGAGAGGTCGACGAAAAAATCGTATTTATCGAAACATGACATTTATTGCCTACTTAATTTATTAGTGAACTTGCGTGAAAAGTACCCCAAAATAACAAATTCTCATAATAGCATAGTTACCCTTCATAATATCATAGTTACCATAATACAAGAGTTCTAATATTAACGTAACGTATGGAAGAAAGCGGCTAAGCTATTGGGTTCAGGTACTTATCAACTTGTATATTGAGAGTTAAAAGCGCGTTTTTATTTATTAGCATGACCATTTATATCTACAGATTGGCCACTGGACACTTCTATCTGTATTTGAAACGCTGAACAGTAAGTGAAAACCAATTAATACTGTATTCTTAATTTGTTACTTTATTTACATTTATGGTTACCTCACAGTTGCTAAAATTAAAGTTAACTGCGTTATGCTTTGTAGGACTACCCGTTAAAACATTTTCTTTCACTGATATGTTAGTCACCTCTATATTTGAAACAGAAGTAGAGGTGGAAGGCTTGGGTATTGTCATCTTTCTGTAGTCACCATTATTGTCAGCACTTGAAGAAACAACATTATTAAATAAAATATTTTTAGTTGTTTTAATTTTTGGAGCAATGCTATCTTCTACATAGGATTCGGTCACTTTGCTACTCTTCCATCCACCAAGGCGTTTCAAACGTAATATGTCAGCTCCGGAATCAGCTAGTAAGGTAGCTGATGACCTATGCATACTGTGCCCAGTATATTTATGAGGTTCTGGTAGTTTAAGAAATTTTGCGATTCTTGGCGGTATGCTTGCAAAAAAATGCTCTCCGCATACCTGTCTGGTGCATTTACCGCCTCTGTAGGATAAAAAAATCGACGGTTTACCGTGAAAACACGTTTTACATGAGTTTTCGACTTGGGAATCTGAATCACAAGCACTGTGTCCTTGTCTTCAATATCGTCGATGGTTAAACTCGCTAGTCCTTTTCCTCGTAACCCAGTGTTGTAACTTACCTAGGTACAAGTACCTAGGTACTGTACCTAAGGTACTAATTTAGTACCTAAGTACCTGCAAAGGTACAAAAAAAAAAGTGTACCTATACCTGTACCTAGATACATTTTTGACGGTACCTAAATACCTACAAGCCTTAGGTACATTAACATTTAACAAAATCAAAATCTCAAAGATAAATGGTTTTGTCAGAGTCAGAAGCAAGGGAAGACCAACCGCTAAAAACCCCTGTTGGTACGCCGCTGCTCAAAAGACGTGTTTACATACGGCAATTTATTACTTCGCTAATGTACATGTGGATATCATATCAATAAGATTTCAAAATGGCTTCTTGTTCTTCGCTTTGCGGCTTGCGAGAAGTTCTGTTTGGAGTTTGTTTTAACTGAAGTGCTGACACAGCTACTGTGTCTACTGAGTGAGTGATAAGTGAGTGATACACGACTGATAATCAGTGATAGACATGGCGATGGCTGATCCTCTGATTGCGTCAAAAGAGAACAATCTGCCTTTGATTTTAAATGGAGAGTTTTTTAAAATATTGATGGAGGAAGAAGCTGATCCTTTAGAACCCTGTGCAGTGGTTCAGATAATTATTAGTGCCATGTCCCACCAGATGGAACTCTTTATTCGATAGTGTACAAAGAATCCTGCAATTACGAGAGCATCTAGAAACAATATGTGAAAAATTAAAAAAACCAAAATTAAAAAATATTGAGTTGGAATTTTTGTCAGAGTACGCTTTAGTTATGGAAGTGCTTGCTAAATCTATTGATATTTTGCAAGGCGAAGAGAGTTGCTGTTTAGGGTATTTACTTCCTACATTATTTCAAATTAAAAAAACGTTAAATTCTCTTTCGCATTTGGTATTTTGCACAGCATTAAAAGACGCAATATTGGATGGCGTTAATAAGAGATATAAGGATATTTTGAATTTAAATAGCAGTACCTCAAAACCCTATATTTTGGCCACTGTTTCGATACCAAAATTTAAGTTAAAGTGGATAACCTCAACAACATCAGATGTGAACCTTATTGAGAGCACAACTAAGCTTATCAAATCCTTGTTCATTACTGAATGTGAAAAAGCCTCTAAAAGAGATACTGCTAAAGCCTATGAAGAGGAAAGTGGCGCTGCTTCTGCTGGCAGCGAAGATGATGATTTCTTCGATATTCTTAAAAGTCCTCTTAGTCCAACGTCAAGCTTGCATTTGTCAGAGAAAGAATATGTGGAATCCGCAGCTTTTAAAAGTATCGTTGAGATGGAATGCCTAAGGTATTTTCAAGACAAATCAAAGGATAAGCTATCTTTATTGAATTATCCCCTCGTTATGAAAGTATACAAAATTTATAATACTATTTTGCCTTCATCTGCACCAGTTGAAAGGCTATTTAGTACGGCAGGACAAATTCTGACTCCTAAAAGAAACCGTCTTTCCGATGAAATGTTTGAAATTCTTCTTCTCTTACGTCACCAAACAGACCTATTGCAGTAATATCACAAATCACAATTAATCTGTAAGGTATGAGTACATTTGTATGTATTACTTTTTTGTGAAATTAGAATAGACATTAAACTTCTTTAACAGCGTTCATTTTTTCAATGTACTTTTTAAAGTACCTACTTACAGTTTTTAGGTACTTTTACACTGTAACTGTACCTGTACCTAGGTACTGTGACAAATATGTACCTATACCTGTACCTAAGTATTTATTTGTTCAAGTACCTGTAACTGTACCTAGATACTGAAATAAAAGTACCTATTACAACACTGCTTAACGCACCAGATATTCCAAAAAGAAAAGCAACCTATTGTACACAAATTGCTAGTATATTTACAGGTCAAGAGTATGAGATAGCGTACCTTTATCATTAAAAATATTTCATCCGGAGCAGCACGCAAGAACTCGTTTATTTCTTCTCTGGTCAATACTTTAGCCTTTTTCCCCTCATAACCCACATTCTTCTGTTTAATAAAAGCAATCAGGACACTATATTTGTTAATTTTCATTTTTTCTTTTATATCCAAACAAGTCCGCAGCATGGAGTAGTGAGTCCATAACGTAGATGGTGCATATTTTTCCGCCTACAATGTTGTAACAATACAGGTATAACAAAAGGAATAGATCAAAAAGGAAAGTTCCAAATTAAGTACTCACCTTGGTCTTAAAGTACGCAAGCAAAATAGGTTCTGAAGCTCCTTTTGCTCCACGCGCCTCACGCCAGGTACAGAACTCACGACACGATACTCTTTTTCGTATAATTCTCGGGATTGAATTGGCAATAGATTTAAAGAAACCTCTTCCGCTTCTAATAAAATATCTTGGGGAACGATTTCGACGTTATCCATCATGAGAAAAATTTAAGATTTGTTTTGTCGTAACCAAGGAGAAAGTAATAGCGGAATTTGTTTTGTCGTAACGAGGGATACAAATTATCTAGTATGTTTCGATAAAGCTATGTATTTCATTTGGATATTACCCGCCATAATAAACTCGGATTATGGCAACGGTAATATCCTTATGAAATAAATAGCTATTAACTTGAACTTCCAAAGGCGACTCGACAGCAACTCATTTTTGATCGCCCGTTATTATTGCCTGAGCACACAAGATCTACATCTCGAGGCGGCTTTAACGAAACACAACTTGCATAATAAAATACATCTATTTCCCAGTTTGTACAGCTAAACCGCTAATCAAAATTATCCTTGATAACGCCAGCTTCGATAGAACGCGTCTCCATTTTCGCCGAACTAATGCGCACATACAACTGCATCTACCGTCATCTCTTCTAACAGCGATAAAAAAGACGTGCGTTAATCTCGCCCGATAACAAAAATTCTTGCCACAAATGACTAGATGTGCCTACATTTTAACACGCAATTTTACGTTTTTATAATTAAATACACAAATCAAATAAACAATTACGCAGTTACAAAAAGTTCTAAAATGAAAAACAACACTAAGACAAAAATTCAAGTGAATAAACAATTCTGTGCTTATTCGTAAAAAACCCCCCCCCCCCCCCAAATGCAGGTCAAATAAAATAGGACACCTTTGAAGATAAATGGATTGCAAATGTTTAAACTTTTACCTTGCAAAAAAGCATTGACAACTTGTGTACCGTGGGTGCTCTTAAGGTCGGCATAAATTAATGTATTGAAAAAAAAATTGAAAAAAAATTTCTTACTGCGACTTATGTATTGAGGGTAAATAGCTATCGAATTCGAAACTGGTTTTTATACTATGCCATCAAAAATGAGTCGAGCCACCTTTTGAATTTTTCTTTACATTCGAAAATCGTACTTAACTTGAACTTCCAAAGGTGACTCTACAGCAACTCATTTTTGATCGCCCGTTACAATAAGAGCTGAACATCCACTATATTATATACGGGTCACCCTGTACAAAAATGTAAAAAACCTGTTTCCCGCTTTAGGAATTTTATTGTTATTAAGACTACAGTGCTACAAACAGACAATTATCAAAAGTGACTGCGGTAGTGCCATAGAGAGAAATATGGTTAATTCTAATTGAGCTTTTCATGTCTGAAGGAAAATTTTATCGGTTTATTATAGTTTTTTAAGTTTTTAATTTCTAGATATTGCTTAAGCAGAGTGAGTATTGTATTGCTTCCATTACAACTAATTTAATAGTAGTCAGATTTCAAAAATTGCAAGTGTCTGGAATTTGGTTGGAATATCAACCTACTGTTTATTTATTAAATATTGCATACCTTTTTACATAAGTAGATCAAATTGAATTGTATTGTAAGATAGTATGATTGTAACAGAGAACTCTGAAATTGGAATGCCACAAGCTTTGTACTTTGAGAAACTTTTACGAAGACTTATATATTGCCACCTTTTCATTGTAGATGTCTGCATCTGCCCATAAACATCGTTACAAGAATTCGGCTCTTGACTCTGTGGAACTCCGACGACGGCGTGAGGAAGAAGGAGTTCAGTTAAGGAAACAGAAACGAGAGCAACAACTTTATAAAAGACGAAATGTAAACGTTGCACTGTTACCAGATGATTCGGATCCTTTGCAAGTAAGTACCTACTGTTCTCCGAGTTTAGTCGTAGGTTTCTAACAGTTTTTACCTGATAGGGTTTCACAGAGGCGTGTCACCCACATTATACCTAAGCTTCAGAGAGTTAGTTACGTACTTACCTTCAAATGTACGTTCTGGTACTTGCACCATGCACCATATTTTATAGTCATACTGTTTTCCATACATCTTTTTGAATTTCTGAGGCAGCAAATTCCTCATAACTTCTTCTGCAGGGTTTTGAACGAGAATCTTTATTTTAAAACTGATGTTTATTAGTATACCTCTTAGACCATATAGTACATGGACTGCTATTCGCTCTATGCTTTCAATACAAAATAGGTGGTCACGGATAGGGGGCGCTGTAGTCGTGGGTATGTGAATCTCAGGGTAAACTAAAGTCGTGTAAACACCACTCGTATCACAAAAACAGCAGCTTCTGTAGCAATCAAGTCGTACGAGATGTTTTAAATGCTATTCTTTATCTTCTATACTTCCACAAATAAGAATAGGTTTGATTTTTTGGCATTTCTATGCGATTAATTATTTGACGTTTGTTAATTTAAAGGTTGACAGTTCAAATCGTGTCTCATCGAACAACTTCGGATAGATTCGTTTACCCTGAAACTTATATACCCAGGCGATGTCCTTGACCAAATTTTAGTTGCAATTAGCAGTCCATGTACTATATGGTCTAAGGTATACCTTCACAATCTAACATGACAATGTATCTTGATTCTGCAATGAAACATTTTTTTTTGTCAAATTTGGACGTTTAATATTGAAATTGCTGTAACTGATATCAGAGTACCCAAAATAGCGTATATACCACAGGAGTAAAGTGTGTCCTAATTTCGAGGGTACTACTTCATTTCGGACCATAAACTGCATCCTCGGGATTAAAACACACACTTCAGTCTCTATTACAGTGATGAAAATAACAACACGTATACGCAGTCATATGCAGTTGCTTTTATTTACTTCATAGGACCGCATTTTTATTATAAATGTATCTTTAAGAAATGAATGATTTTTGGTGTTGTTGCGCTTGATTACGAAATGAATCTAACTGACAAACCCGAGGATGAACCTACTGTATGTCACGGTGAAGGCACTTTGTGTTTCAGAATTCTATATTTTAGAGCATTGTGAAAAACAAGATTTTTAGATTTCACATTTCAATGTGAGGGTTGTTGTTGTATGGTTATGGACGAATAGATGGTGTCTCGGTTGGTACATTACAATGAAGCCTAATAATTGATAATGAAATGACAAAGGAAGAAAATCTGGAATTTACATGGAAAATGAAAGATGGAGGGAAGGAGGAAATGCAGATTCTGAAGCGAGTAGGAGAACATTGATCATTTGAAATGGCAATGCAGACAGGTAGGAAGAACAAAACCAGGATCGAAATCAAAGAGCAAAGTTGATGAAGATGATAGAAAAAGGAAAACAGAAAAAAATAAAGAGACAGGGAGATGACGAATAGTGGAAGGAATATTTAAGTTTGAGGATTTTTTTTTGTATGCTTCTTTGTGGACTGTGTGTCCTATTTTGGTTGAGACCAGTGTATATCAGCTGCTTTTAATTTCATACATATGAACATAATACCTACATACAGGTGCATGTACTAAAAATGACAAAAAAAACAGAATTTTTATACAATAAAATTTGTACTTCAAATATCCAAACTAAAATGTTTACACTGATAGATTAACTTTGAAAAAAAAGCAGATATTTTAGATAGCTTTTGAAAAAAGTCGGTCACTTTGGTCTGTGTGAAATGTTTTCATCAGTTTGAATCTTTTGGCGCATGCTGGTTAATTTAAAATGTAATTTCAATTCAGAGAAATCACAGCATGGATAATCCGCTGCCCGGATAACTCGCGTCGATAATCGGAATTTTACTGTAATTAGATATTATATCATATTATTCAAAATTTTGAAATGACATGTTTCTGCCGTCAGCCATTTTTATTGATTGGTATTGGCTGCCATTTTGTATTTTTATGTCATGGTTAAAATTAAAAAAAAAGTAGGTTGTGACACCTTAGTGTGATCAGGAAAAAGAATGCAAACATTGATGTTAATTGACGTGTTGCATTAAAAAAAATACTAACTTTGGGTCAAATCTCAGAAACTGGCCCAAAAACTTTTTGACTACACCGTAAGATATTTCATCCTATAATTTTAGTGATAACTTTTATATTAAATTTCTTCATGGCTATTGATTTCCGCTATATTTGTCATCATCAGGCCTTGCGTCATAAGACATAAATGAGGAAACTATGAACATGAAGAGAATGTAGTTGTATCGGTGTAAAAATGGGATAATATCAAGACATATATTTTGAGAACCACTGCTCTACAAGATGCTACTTTTAAATTTTAAGTTTGACGTTTCGTCTCCAGTCAACCATTATCAACTTTGTTTTTTCTTATGGAAGTAATTTTTACTTTTTGTATCATTTGGTGGAGAATTTTTTCTGATTTCAAAAATTAACGTCACTAGTTTTTAATCATAAATAGCGCTATTAATTTGTAAAAACGCAAGAAACTACGTACGTATACTATCTAAGACAAAGTTTTCTAGGCAAAAAAGAAAATATTTTTATTTAAAAAAATTGTGATGTTTATAATTTTGAACGCTCTTTTTAATTCTCTATCAAATGACAAAAGTTTCAAAACTGCATTTTTTAAGCATCAAAATACGCAACTTTGCCCAATTTAAACTACCTACCCATCTTTTACAGTTCCCAAGATCCCCATGGTGGCCCTCGAATTTGAATCAGCCTGTATATGAATTTTTGCTGACCAAAATATGTTTAACCAAAAGGATGTCAAAATCGTTATTTATGCACCAATTTTGTTTGGAAAAAAACCAAGCTCTATTGCTTGATGCACAAATGTATTTTTCGTCACCAACTTATTTTTCGCAATGTCAAACCAAACGTACGTATGGACTTCAAAGTTAGTTTTGTCCGTCTGCCTACATATATGAGTGGGGGTTGCACCGGCAATACCCATGTATTAGTGGTTTTGGTTTATTTGTTACCCCAGAGGCTTCGTATATGTTTCCAGTAGCAAGGTTTACTGCCGCAAGTTGCTTGCGTGAGAAAACTTATCTTTACAACAAACAACGTCATTTGATCATTTTCATGGATAACTAGATCGAAATGAAAATAATTGAAAAATCTTGGTTATTCATCAGGACGAGAAAGAAAATAATCAAAAATATAACAACTCTTACCAATGAACCAACGAGAGCAAGACCCACTACTTCACTACACTTGTACTGTACCCACTGAACACTGAACAGTAGATGTTAAACCAGGCTATTTAAATCTATTCTCGCAGGAGAGATTGGAGAATGTGACACAGCATGACAGATTCCCAAAGCTATGCAGAGCTATGACGACCTGGAACATGTCGTTCGTGTTCAGAAGTTCGAGTCCTAATTGACCTACCAGTTTTGCCAATGTAGACCGAACCATAAGAACAGGGAATGTGATACACGCCATAGTCTAATAGGATCTTAGATATTACCCAACCTCAAAGATAAATTCAAACCCCTATCTTGCAAAGGCAACATGTATAAAAGGCTCAAAATATTTTCATTACGATTTTAATACTGTTTCACAATTTGATATATTATGTTGTAGTAAGTAAATCCCACACTTTTTTATTTACAGTTGGAAGGCGATATCATTTCTCAATCTGCCCCCGGAATAACTCGTGCCATGGTGCAAGATTTGTATAGTGATAATATAGAAGACCAATTAAATGCCACGCAGAAGTTCAGAAAACTATTAAGTAGGGAGCCTAATCCACCGATTGATGAAGTTATACAGACGGGAATTGTTCCACGTTTTGTACAGTTTCTACAAAATACAAACAATTGCACATTGCAGGTAACCAGCTTGTGTATTTATAGAATTAGCAAAGTATTATACCTTCAATTTTTGATGGATGAAGGGCGAGCAACATTGTAACCTCTTGTTGTACATCCTCATCCTCATAATTTATTTAAATAATTTTTTTGCTTTTCAAAACCGTTGACAGTTGCTGTAACTGAACTATACTGCATTCATTATAAGAAGGTACTAGATGGCGCTGTGCTTGAAGATAAGCACACACAGGAAAAATATAAAACGGCACCAAATTATTGTAAAGTAGAAATATCCAATATACTGCAAACAGAAATAAATCTTTGACATTAACAACTAATGACACTCCAAGAGTTTAGTTAGCAATAGAAAGTACCAGCTTGCAAAATTCGCCACTCGTTTTATGTTTCAGCGTAATACTCACTCGTGTTTTAACCAATCACACTGAAGGTCAAAGCTTCCATATGCATACATATGAATACAGTATATCTTCAAAATCTCGTTTTGTGTTCTACTCATTAATTCATTAATGATTTTCTACTTCAAAGTCTCGTTTACGTCTGGCATATTTAGTAACACTCCTACGACTCATTATAGCCACTTAAACTGTTATAATAATCAGTATTTGTAGGAATATAAGCAATCACGCCATTCTGCATGGAATAAACAAATTGTAAATTTTTACCTCGGCCTTAGCCTCTGTCTTTGCAGTAACCAAGATAAGTAATTCAATATTTAACCGAAATCCGAATACGTAGAATCATTTATATGTGTTTGCAGCAGTATACATTTCTTGATATTTTCAAATATATGAGTTGATGACACATTGGCTTGCGCTATCTCTGTTTTGATATTTCTTCTGTTTAGTTTGAAGCGGCATGGGCGCTGACAAATATTGCTTCTGGTACATCGCAGCAGACTCGGATGGTGATAGAAGAGGGCGCTGTTCCTATTTTTATTGCATTACTTAGTAGTCCTTATGATGATGTTCAAGAACAAGCAGTTTGGGCATTGGGTAATATTGCCGGTGATTCGCCTGAATGTCGAGATCATGTCTTAGATTCCGGTATACTCGTACCACTTTTACAGTATGTATAATATTTATAGCTGCATACAATCATTGAGTTACTTTTATAGAAAGGGGAGTGCGGTTATATTTAATTTGATAATCTGTTTGCACAGTTTAGTGGTATAATGTGGTTCAAAACTGACGCAATCTTTATTTCAGGCTTTTAAGTAAGGAAGGTCGTTTGACAATGACCAGAAACGCCGTATGGGCTCTATCAAATCTTTGCCGAGGCAAAAATCCTCCACCTGAGTTTTCTAAAGTTTCTCCAGGTTTACCAGTACTTGCCCGCCTTCTATTTCATACAGATGCAGACATGCTATCAGACGCATGTTGGGCTCTTAGTTACCTTTCTGATGGACCTAATGATAAGATTCAGGTAAATTTATTTACTGTTCGTGCAGAGTGAATAATCGCAAATTACTTTAGGCTGTTATTGATGCTGGTGTATGCAGAAGATTGGTAGAGCTGCTTATGCACCAACAACCTAATGTCGTTTCGGCAGCACTGCGAGCAGTTGGAAATATTGTCACTGGCGACGATGTACAGACTCAAGTAATTTTAAATTGTAACGCATTACCCTGTTTGCTTCATTTATTAAGTTCTTCAAAAGAAACTGTCAGGAAGGAAGCATGCTGGACTATTAGTAATATAACAGCAGGCAATAGGCAACAAATTCAAGTAGGTTTTATAAATCGTCTACAAATTCGATTAAACAATTTTTTTAGGCGGTTATAGATGCTAATATATTCCCAGTTTTAATCGAAATATTAGGTAAAGGTGAATTTAAAACTCGGAAAGAGGCAGCTTGGGCCATTACAAACGCGACGAGCGGCGGCACTCCTGATCAAATTAGGTATTTGGTCGAGCAGGGTTGTATTAGTCCATTATGTGATCTACTTACTGTTATGGATGCGAAAATTGTGCAAGTAGCTTTAAATGGTTTGGAGAATATCTTACGGCTCGGTGATCAGGATGCAAAGAATCATTCAGGAACAAATCCTTATGCAGTACTTATCGAAGAATGTTATGGTAAGTATTTGGGAGAAGATATATACAGGGTCACTATTCAAGACGGAACCAAAGCTCTCACGCTGAAACCGTGTTAGATATAGACATGAAAATTAAAACGCTTCCATTTCAAATTATTTCACATATTTTGACCGAATTGCAAACTTTTTTATTTATAAAAGTATTAAAATGAAATTTGATACTTAGGCACTTGGAATAAAGGAAAATCTAACGCCAGTTTCAAAAACTGGTTTTGCGCATGCGCAGTGCCAACTGTTTCATCTATGGCACCATTTAAATGAAATTTGATCCATAGGTGCTTGTAATAATGGAAAATCTAACGCCAGTTTCAAAATATATGGTTTGCGCATGCGCAGTGTCAACTTTCTTATTTATGAAAGCATTGAAATGAAATTCTTCTTATAAACTGAAATTGAAGTAGGACATCAAAAATTGATTGCACCTATGCAACGCTCTCTTTCATATTTGTAACCGGATTTGTACGATTTTAATAGAAGTTGCATCTTACAAATGGGAAATAAATGCAAGTGGAAATGCGCTTTTTGTAAATCGTTTACGATTACTTTTTTAACTTGTTTTCATTAGATCTTAGTCATGAATGGTGTTAGGAAATAATGAAGAAAAATTGGAAAAACCTTATAGTACGGGAGGTAGCGTCCTATTATTACGGGTCATTTTCGCACAATTACTTTTTATTCTGCCTGGTAGTTTTTACTTAGTTAACACTTAAAACAAGCGTCAGCTGGCGCGACTGCGTGGCGTGATGGTATGAGAGGCTGAGAAACACGTAAAAAAAAATTGTTTTTCGGACCATTTTCGCAAAGCTGAAAATGGTATATATAATAGTGTACAATGTAAAAAGAGCATAAATAACTGCCAGCTGATATTTAAATGTGGCAGAACCTGTTAGCTGGGCGTCTAAAGTGTAGCGTAGCGTTAGCGGGCGCTAGCGCACGCGGCGACTTTGAATTTTGATGGCCCAGCTAACACATTTTTCCACGTTGTCGTGTCAGCTAACAAGTGGTTTCCTTTTTTTTGTACCATAAACTGATGAGGTACTCATTTGCATGCATGCTGATGTCATATTATTGGAGAAAAATATGATTGAAGGAGAATACATGAGCAAAATGGTATCACATACTGTATAATAATAGGACATTAAGGGCATAGAATAAACCAAAAAAAGGAAACTAATAGCCCTAACCATGGCTGCGGCTGCTTACGGAGAGATTATGGTACGTTTGTGTAAGATTATTTTAGCCGCTACTAACTTTTATTTTCCTGTTAGGACAAAATGCAACCTATACATTTCTTAGACAATTCTTAAAAAATGCGTTAAAAGAAAACAGACCGGGTCTGCGTGAGTGTGATTGAGACGGACTTATGCGACAGCGTGCGTGTTAATAAAGGCAGGCGTCACGTCGGTCGGTGTTGCCAGGAGCTGGGGCGCTCGCGTTACGCTTTTAATAAATATTCAACCTCTTATATTTCTTAAACCGTAGGTCTAATTGAAAAAATGTTTTAGTAAAAAAATTACCTTGATTAATTCGACATTATTTTGTCTCGCTCATCATGTATTATACCTCTATCTGCACTCATAACGAAAAGACTGAGATTTTTATTACACTTCTCGCGCATATACAGTTTACAGAGTGGTTGTTGACTTTCTTTTTGTTCTGTGAGACAACAAATATAATGAGCTTCCGAATGGTACACAAATTCTTGAAAAATATTCCTAAGTACCTTCGGAAATGCTTGCGCCCAATTACAGAGTGACTCGCATAATGCTTTTTAGAGGTGCCTCTGCAGAACGTCTTAAGTTGTTCTATACTACTCCGGCATTTACCTTACGAATTAAGAAAACTGCAAAAAAAGGAGAACCTAATTCGGAGTAGTCGACAAAATGTTTGAAACTGATCTAAGAAAATTCCCATCTCTTCCACAGAGCCCAGGTTCCAACAGCCGCAGCCGTGGTTAGGGCTATTAATTTCCTTTTTTTGGTTTGTTTTGTCTCTTTTGATTTATTTTATGTCCTTAACCACGTTACAAATTATAAAATACAATGTTTCAATTTATGTATAATAATACAGTATGTGATACCATTTTACTCATGTATTCTCTTTCAGTCATATTCATATGACATCAGCATGTATGGAAATGAGTACCTCATCAGTTTATGGTACAAAAAAAAAGGAAACCACTTGTTAGCTGACACGACAACGTGGAAAGATGTGTTAGCTGGGTCATCAAAATTCAAAGTCGTCGCGTGCGCTTAAAGCTACGCTACACTTTGGACGCCCAGCTAACAGGTTTTGCCTCAATTAAATATCAGCTGACAGCACGGAGGTATAGACTGGTGATACGGCGAGCGCGTGTAGCATGTATGCTGTCACCGGCCTGAAGTGTGCGAGAGAGAGAACAAATTCCGTCCGCTTCAGAACGCATTTATATGTACGTAATCCATTCGCACGTTACATTGTTTACTACCAAAGATGTGTGTTTCTGTCCATTATCGTCTAAAAACTGTGTATGAATGGTCATGTCGCTATGAAGTAGTTATCAATATGTAATACATACTTTTGATTGTAAAAATAACAAGGTTTAGATGTACCTGGATGTACCTACAGTAGTGATCTTTTTTAGGAATTTGGTTCGAAGGTGTAACTTTCAATGAAATGAAAACACATGCATATTATTTATGAATATTTCAGGTTACTGGTACCCGAAATACCGGGATCCCGCATAAATGGAGCGGGATCCCGTGTGATTTGCGGGACTGAGGAATTTGTCGACCAAGGAGACGACTCTTGTTTACTTTGTTAATGAAACGCATAACGTAGAAGTTATTTTTTAAATAATTGTTGAACTTTTTTCGTTAAAAATGTACTATGATTTTTGAGGCACTTTAGAAGTTCACCTTTTTGTGCTTTACAGGCGAGGTTTTTTTGAGTTCTAAGTTAGACTGAAGGTACTTTGTTAAATATTGTGATAATTAGCGATTTTTTGTAATACAGAAGTTAACCGCACAGAATTGCTTATGTCCCAATTTATTTAAAGTTTTGCGGGATCCCGCAAATACCGGGATTGAGATTTTGCTGCGGGATTGCATTCCGTAGTTGTAGTACTATAAAATAAATCTTCAATTGTCTGATAAAAAAAATCGACGGACGCAGCATGTGGTATGAGAGTATTATATCAACGGTTTTAACAAATTAAACACATCAGAATTTGGATGATTTAATCCACCCCGTGATTTTAACGTAGTAAAATGCGCAACTGATGCATTTTATGAAGGTAACAATTCTAAATTCAACAAATGAAGGCAGTTTATAATTGCTTGTAGGTGAGCGCGCGTTAAATTCAATAATACTGAATGGACGGAATGTGCTTTCTCGCTCTCGGGTGCTCCTTTTCTAATAGGTCGGTACTCGTGCGACAGATTTCCGTGTGCTCTTAATGCTTCGCCGGCTCACCAGTCTATACCACCGTGGCTGACAGTTATTTATGCTCTTTTTACATTGTACACTATTATATATACCATTTTCAGCTTTGCAAAAATGGTCCGAAAAACAATTTTTTTTACGTCTTTCTCAGTCTCTCGGCATCTTAAGCCACGCTTTTGAGCCAGCTGACGCCCCTATCGTTGATAGGTTATGGATCAGAAATCTATAGTAGAAAGATGAACTTTGCGAAAATGGTCCGGTCAAATAGGACGCTAGCTCCTGGACTATTACTATACGCTTGGCTGATTTGCACTCTAAATTTAGATACCTTTAAATTTACAGAACGTCAAAAATGAACAAAAAAAGCAATGAGTTTTGTGCATTTTTTTCTAATTTAACACTATAGTCCGTTTCAAACTAACTTAACATTTCTCATTAACCATTTATAAAGCCCATCGTTTATAGTATTGTATGCATCAATTACAGTTATACGAGCCCTAACACATAAATGTTCGGACATCTAGCATTTTTAAAATAGAACCGAAAAAATAAATAAATCCGAGTCAATGTCAATAAAGCCACAAATATCTACAGAAATATGTATTATAAGTTTATTATTTAGGTCTAATAGCAAAAAAACTATTTTTTTTAATGCTCTCATAACATAAAAATGCGAAAATCAGCGAAATTAACTGACACAAATGTTCGGACACCACACATTTGATAGTTTGAGTTCTAGGTAGCAGGACAAAAACAAAAAATAATAATTCTTATAACCTGTAATAATAATAATAATAATAATAATACAGACACAAACACTAATCATTACTTGATTTTAATCCGTGCGATTAGTTAACCAGGCTAGACCTGAGTTCTCACAAGAAACACCAACCATAATAATAATAATAATAATACTGTTTATTCCGGTCAGTCCACTTTGCCATTTTGTTAAAAGAAAAAAATGGTACGTGGCACTGCGACACGGAAAGAAATCGCGACAATTAATAGTAAAATGGTTTCATATGGGAAAATCCTTTAGGACAATAGGTCAGGAATTTAATTTGTCGAAGTCCAAGGTGGCAGATATTGTAGCAAAGTATGCGAAAACAGCATCAAGTTGCAGGAAAGAGCACAGGAAGACGGCAAAAAGTTAGCCCTAGAATGCAGTAACCATTTTCAATTCTGGACGAAGAGACACAGTACAGAATCTTACGGTGAAACGGAGTGAAGTAACAAATGCTCATCTTTCTCACGAACCTTGTCGAAGGTGGATCCACAAATCAGGTTTGCATTTTTATAAAGTAAGTTGATCTTTAGGTTAAAACTATTGAGCATTAGAAAATACTTTTTTAAATAGACGGAAAAAAACCTCTTTTAACAGAAAAACAAAAAAAGAAGAGGTTAGCTTGGGCTCGGGAGCGGCAGGCGTGGTCTTACCAAGACTGGAAAAAAAATCATTTTTAGTGTCTCGATTTGATATCAGTGTGGGCGATAATCGAAAAAGAATTATCAGATCGAAAAACGAAACATTTCACAAAGATTGCTTAAAGCGTTCTTTAAATTCCCCAGTGGGGTAATGGTGTGGGGCAGTATGTCTGCAAATGGGTTGGGACAATTTGCTCTTTATAAATGGTAATGTTAATGCTCAGAAATATCAAGCAATTTTAGAACAAAGTTTATTGCCTTCACTTGAGACATTATCACTTGATGCAGACTTTTTTTTTCAACAAGACGGAGCATCATGTCACACGGCAAAAACGACTAAGAAATGGTTACAAGACTACAATATTAGTGCTTTAGATTGGCCCTCAAGCAGTCCAGATCTCAATGTCATTGAGACAGTGTGACATAAAATGAAGCAACGTTTGCGTAATCACCCGCAACACAATATTGCTTATTTGAGATTTGGGATACCTTCGGCACCGATGAATGTAAAGCTCTTCTGGCGACCATGCCTACATGAATCCAGGCTGTTATTAAAGCCAAAGAGGGTGTAACTCATTATTAAGGGGTGGTGTCCGAACATTTTTGTGTCACATTAAATTTTAATTTTACATTGTTTTGTGTTATTTCAAAGTTTGTAATTAATTAATTTTGCATCAAAATATAAAATCGGAGTTACTAAATATCGTAATTTATAACTATAGTAAGACAAAATTAATAAAAAAAAAATACAATAATTTTAAGTTACAATATTTTTAAAATCGTGGGTGTGCGAACATTTATGTGTTAGGGCTCGTACTGTTAGGAGATTATAACCTGACTAATACCACTTGCGATGCCGACCAGGAAGATGGACACCTTACTGCTTTTTGTAATCGCAACAGCACTTCAGAGCTTATAATATGTGACGCATTCAACCTGTTCGGCTTCCATCAATTCAACTCAATCAAAAATCGGGTGAATGGCAATATCCTTGATCTAGTTTTTTCTAACTGTGATACTTCCATTTCCTTAGATTAGGAAAGAGTATGAATACCGCGTATGCCGTACAGCCTGTCTATGAATCGTGTTACCTTTTTAATCAAGTCGGCCATTTTATATGTGGCATACATGTCATTTAAGTCACATCGTTTTTATGAGTTTTTGCGCTTAAATTGAGAGGAAATACACAAAAAACAACTTAAAATCGTGATGAATTGTACAGATTGTGGATGCAAAAGCCGGAGTGAGAAGAAGGAACCGGGAATTTCATTTCAGACGTAAAGATTGAAAATGTGCCTAATATCCGTTACCACGTATTTTCCTATTTTTCATCATAAAGCTTTTTCCTATGCATTCAAATTTTGATAACAAACGTCTACAAGGACGGAATTATTCAATAAACTCCATAGGCGCGTTTTTCAAAGAGAAAATTGGTATGGAAACAGCTTTTATGTGAAAAATCAAACAGAAAGCAATAAGATTCTTATTTTATCACAGGGGACAGTTAGTTTTAAATACATTCCCGAAAAAAGATAAGAGGAAGTTTCGTTTATAGTTTTATACCCGTGTCTGATTAACAAATAGCGCAACGCACGAATTTCATTCGTATGTTCAACGTGTTTTATTACTTTTTATCTCCCAAAACCGGAAACAGCAAAAAAATTTGCTGTGACTAGCACAGATAACAATCTGTTCAGCCGTTGAGCCTGCGCACTAACGGGCAAGTAGTAATAAACGAGTAACATCGTTGAAAGTAGTTATCAGCCAGTTCCGTATAATTATTTACAAAGATTTATTATATAAGTAACAATTCTTTACTGTTTGAACATTTGCGTCACTCTAGAGTTTGGATTTTTAGTTCTTCTTAACTTAATTAACTTAATTTTGCAAATTTTAATCTCATATCCCACCATAAATAAAATAAAAGTAATTTTAACATCTTGAAGAAATGATTTCACTTCTGTAATTATATCCAAATTTTTATAGTACAAGATTCGATCAGCGTATACTACGAAATTCAAAAGTCTCCATAATGAAATTAAATATCGTAAATTGATAAATTGTAATGTAAATAAACCACTAAAAAGAATTCGGATATCACTGACCGATTGCACACATATCACGTTCGAATTTTCGTCTCGTTTGGCTAGTATTCGTTCGTTTATAATAATAATAATAATAATACTTTATTAACCCTCTGAGCTTATAAATGCTATGGGATAAGTCAATTCAAATAAATGCATTTACACTGAACATATAAAATTGTTACACTGTTTTGTATAAAACTAATACTACGTATACATATGAAGACAAACTTAACAAGAAACACTGCTCTACAAATTCAACTTTTCGAAGCCTCCTTACGATCAATTCAATGATTATATTCGTTCCGTGGACTGGCATTCACTATTTTTCAACAAATATTTGGAAACACATGTAAATGTGTAAAGCATCCAAGAGCAACATTGATTATCATGTTTTTACCGAGTTGCGATCACAGTGTAAATCTATCAGTTGTCGATGAATTCGGAAGCACAGGACCAGATGAAATTCCACCAAAATTTCTCAAGAACTGTGCTCAATCAATATATCTACCACTGTTCCTTTTATTTTCGTCTTCATTGGTTGAAAAGTGTTTTCCCGAGTGCCTGGAAAAAATTGAAAATGACACCTATTTTCAAGAGTGGAACCAATACCTATATAACTACAGACCAATATCCATCCAGTCGGCTATACCGAAACTTTTCGAATCCATTATTGTCCGGCAGTTCACCAAGGCTTTCTCGCAAGTGCTATCGGCCAATCAACATGCTTTTACAAAAGGGAGATCTGTAGAAACAAACCCGTTTCAGTACTTAGCTACTTAGCTGGACGTAAAGCACGACTTCAAATCGATGACACTTTATCGGATCCCATTGACATCAAATCTGGAGTTCCGCAAGGGACACATTTCGTGCTGCCTCGGTTCGTGGCATAAGTTAATGACATATCTTCGATATTTTCCTCAAATCATGCCCTCTTTGCTGACGATCTTATCTACATCTACAGACCTATTGAGAACACCCAGGATGTGCTGATCCTTCAACAAGATTTGGTACAACTTGAAATATGGGTTCAATTTGTTTTTCGAAGAAATCATCTCTTTCTGTACCGCACTACCATCTTTGTGGTTAAGAACTTCAACATGTGGGCATCATCAAGGACCTGGGTGTAGTACTTGACACAAGCATCACTACGATCATGTTATCTCGAAGGTTAGCAAAATGGTTGGGCTCATTCGTCGCCAATGCAAGGATTTCATCAACATAACGGCACTGAAGACTATACTTCTCCCTGGTTAGGTCGCATCTGGTCTATTGCTGCACGATCTGGTCACCATACTTTTCAACTCATATTAATCGGTTAGAAAAAATACAAAACAATTTCCTTCGCCTTATAAAGTATAAAATACTTCTTAATGGAGTCATTTTGGATCACGCTGAAAATGTACGACTTTACCTGGGAATACTGACTCTTAAACAAAGGAGAAATTTTCTTACCGCATGTTTTGGTTTCAAACTACTAAATGGTCACCTGAACTGTCCGGATATTTTATCTATTATTAATTTAAATGTATCGCAACGATTTGTTCGCTTTTTCAAAAATACGCTAAAAATTATATTATACAAAAAGCGCCCGAAATGCAAAGGTAATACCAGTTCCGTCAGGCGAAGGTCGCTTAACACTAAATTATATGTAAATTAATAAATGAGGCGGTTTCTACGCATATTGTTCTAGACTCACTGTCTTACAACCGAAGCACTTGTTTCACGTCCGACTGTGTTTACTTTGACGAAAGATATTGAAAGTACATAATTAGCTGTACGCAGCGATAACGGACTCTTATCGCAATGACCGGCGATAAACTTTTATAATAACACGCAATAATTTCCAAATGATTAAACCTAATCACTTATGTCACGTTGGGGTTGTATCTTATATCCTATTAATTATCTCCCTTGATGACACTCCAAAATTTTAAGCTGAAAGCTTTTAACATACCAGTTATAATTCCATTTAAAGGTTTTGCATAGACACCTGGTACATATAGCGTCCATTAATAAAAATTATGACTCATTATAAAAATAAGAAAAATCTAATAAATAAATAAACCACTGCGATTCCGTTCAAAGTTTATTCCAGCGTTCGTAAAATTGGAACAGAAAGGTAGTGGGACGACTGATTTATATTCAGACTGTGGTGTTATGCATATCAATAGTCACACATGAAAATTATGTATTCCTGTATAGTCTAGACATTTTTTATTTTTGTAGGACTGGATAAAATTGAGTTTCTGCAGTCTCACGAAAATATGGATATCTACCAGAAAGCCTTTGATATAATTGAACACTTCTTTGGAACCGAGGAAGAGGATTCTCGTGTCGCTCCAACGGTCGATACTGAACAACAACAGTATACTTTCGGACCTGATCAATCGGTACCAATGGGCGGTTTTCAATTTTAATTGGTTCACAATGATAAGTATCAATGACATAAGTGCCCCATGAATTTTAATAAAAAAGATTGTATATTAAAATCTTGGACCTGCACAATAATTTTATCATAATGTAGTTACTGATATGATTCAAACATCTTTTTTTTTATGTCTGGAAAGTAATTCGGCGCTAATTCTTTAACACTTAGTCCATTTTACAAATGTAACATATTAATTCCTGCATGCTATTGCAAAACTTTGAATTCCCCGTTTAACTTAGCCATTTTCTCTTTGTTTTAGCTAAATAATCGCTAGCAAAAAAATTGCTATATTTTCTATAGTCATACAACATCTTGTTAAGTTGGTCAGTATAAAAGTAAGTTTGACTAATTTTTGTGTTATATTTGTTATTTGTAGATAGTACAATTTCTAAATTCATTAAAGGCACATTCAACATTAAAACCTTTACCTACCATATTAGTTGGAGCTTTCTATTTATGCTCTGCTTTTGTATAGTGTATGTCTTATTTCTGTATCATATGAAAACCAATGTGAAATAAACTGATATCCCACTGACTGTAATGTGGCCAATGACTTTTTACACTACCTACACGATATGAATAGCAATATGTTAGCATGCATATCTTAAACTATTACAAGATATTTAACATTGAGGTGTGTTAGTAGTGGTCCATACTGTGAGCTTTGGAGCAATTTAGATTATCTCTTGGGTAGTCTCAATTTACACAGCCAAAACAAAGATGCAGAGGAACAGTTCCTCATTACATATCGTAGAGTATTATAAAATAGCTTACTTGTAAAATTGAAAAGTCGAAGGCTCACATTATTCAGAAATTGTTTACATTTGCAAGTGAAAAGTGATTACTTGATTATATAAGAATGCTGATTTCTTACCTCAAAATACATAACTATATAAATAAACAAGGAAACATTTTTGTGCTCGTTTGCTTTTCGTGTAATTGTTACTCCAATTAAATTGGAGAAGTATAGATATTTTTTCCAGAGGTTTTCATCTAAAACAGAAATGAAATTATTCATTGTGTACTGTGCGTGCTTCAGATTCGACTTATCCAGTGTCATCTCTTATAAGTGCTAGGTTACATAGTATGCTAGCTTCACAAGTTTGTATCTTTCTTCAATTCAAGTTAAAAACAAATATTTGTTGATTTCTTTCTTCATTAGATCTTAAGTATTAGTCGTTTCAATTTTTCATTTTAATTAAACAAATTATGATAAATAAACTATAAGGTCACCTGTTCCTTTGGAAAATACATGTCAAATTCTACCTATCTAACTCTGAAATAGCTAGCCATATGGAATCTGGGACACCCAGTATTTAAGCTTTGCTTTTGATGTTACAATTGTACTGCTCAACTATCTTCCTAAAATACAGCGTAAACCTTTTTGGATATGCATGTTTATTGTACATATCCTTGAGTCCTGATAAAGTGGATCTAGTTGAGGGTTACAGTTGGATACAACTAACATTAATGTGTCAATAATAATTGTTCTGAAGTGTCTTTATAAAATAATTAAGACATGTGTTAATAAGAATAAACTTGTTATTTTTTTTAAAATGTGATAAAATTTTTAAATAAAGTGTTTTTTAATTTGAATGTTTTTATTATTGAATGTGCCAATTGAGCTACTCAAATTATGTACACGTGTAAAACTATTTTTTGTTTATAATTTATAGTATATAATAAAGTTAACATTTTATTTACTATGGTGTATTCGTTGGAATCCCATCATAAAATTACTACTTTCACCAATCATGTGGGTTGCAAAACTGTTGAATATGAACTGTCTTGCTTTGAGTCACAGATGAAATACCCAATTTTATCTGTGTTTCCTTAGAGTGCCTAATCTCGATGTTGAGTTCATCACTGTGCATGTGCAGGTTACACTCTGAATGAATTAATTTCTCTAAACGGAGTATGTAAAGTTGCCTAACTTCTTCCGAAATATAGTAAGTTGAAGTAGAAAGAGATGAATGAATTTGTCTCATTTTACTATACTTATCTTTGTTGTCTCTTTATTCAATTCACCATTCAATCACGTGATTCAATGGAATTTAATTATAAATGCAAGGACTGTCTAATAACACTTGCCTAATCAGGTTTTTCGATTGATATTAATAAATACACATCTTCTTTATTTATTGCATATGAGTACTGGGAATTAAAATTCCATTAGCTTACGTATTTGTCTTTTTAATGTTTATTCAAGGGAATCTATGTTTTTCAAAACTGGATATTTTTCTCCAAACATTGTACTAAACCAATATTTTTGATTCAAAACAAACATACTGTACTGTACTGTATAATGATTTTTACGGTTTCAAAAGTTTCGTATTTTCAATATAAGTATTCTTATTTGATTTATTCTTTGGGGAATTTTTCGGAAGACAAAAATTCTCTTTGTGTGATGGTTTTGCCTGTCCGTCTGTATGTTCCTCATCTAACTCGAGAACGAAAAAAGATGCCCAACCTTGGCCGATCGATTTCTACTAGTTTTTGTTTCAGTCGTTCGGAGCCAAGTCCTTATAATTTAAACCTGACAATTTTAGAAACACTAAAGGAGGTGTGAATTTTCAATGCAAATTGCAATAAAAAATTTTGCTGGCAAATGTGTTAAGTTTGAGGTTGTGAATAAAGGCAGCGTGATAACAAAAAGAGCAGTGTAGTTTAGTTAGTACATTGTAGGGTGACATATAGCAGTGAAAAGGGAACAAGCGCATGGTGTGCATCATAGTCATGGAATAGACTGGTTCACTTTTATAAAAAAACAGCGTTTTAACAGGTTCTAGGGGCATTTCAGACAACATTTGGCCAAATTAGGCGTGTTTTACTAATTTGGACCTGCTGAACACGAATATCGATGTTGGCACCTCGAAATCTGAACAGGAAGTCCAGAATTCAAGATGGCGGCCAATTTCCGAAAATGTTGATATTTTCACTCAAGCGAACGATTTTTTCGATCTAAAAACGGATTATAATGTTATTCCTGACGGAGGTATGGCACGATAATAATAGTGAACAAATGTTTAAACAATGATTTCATAGTTTTTCTAAAGCCTAATTTACATTTGGCAAGTTTACTGGCGGAAAGCACTTTCTGCCAGTAAACTTGCTACCCAATTACTATTTAACTGGCACTTTCCGCGCATTTACACGTGGCAAGTTTACTGACCGACAGTACTTTCCGCCAGTAAACTTGCCAAATGTAATTGTAAATTAGGCTTAACGTCAAAGTGCGTAAAAGTGGATCCCTTTTTTTCATAGTACTATGGCTATATACTGTTTAAATTTCTTCACATCGTGTAATTATTAAATTATTTCTGTTTTGGCAAGCATTTTGGTTCCTGTGCGTCGTGTGAAAGATATCCGCGATGGTCCATGACCTCATATGGAAGAATTTCCTTTTATTAGAGGAAAACAAAAGAAATCTTGTCGCATCACCTTGAAGAGGCCTCATTTGACGGCGTACTGGTAATTGCGAGAGGCTTCAATGATGAAAGAAAAGTTTTCTGTAACCGTCAGAGGACACAGATTTCCTCCTTAGAAGCTTTTCACATCAAGGAAGCGGATACTAGAAAAACGCTACAGATACAGATGCATTCCTGTTGCTTCTTCATCACTTAGTTTCAGGAGTGGCGAAGCTTTAGATCTAACAATTCTGAACTCCATTCTCGTGCGATTCCATCTAATCTTCTCTAGCATTTCATCCATTTCAATCATTACGGCATATCAGGTGTAAATCTCAAGATGTATTTTTTTTATCTTATAAACTATGAAATGTCGCTCAGACTACCCTATCTATCCTGAATTGAAAATAGCTACATTCCCATTCTCCCAACGTTAGATTAATTCCGAAGGCTGCTCTAGATATCGTCCTTGTGTCGTAAATAGGATTGCTCGTCAAAACTTTGTAAAAATATCGCAAAGCTCAATTGATTACTACCTAATAGTCCAGAAGACGATTGACCTAACACTATGAGAATAACGAAGGTGTTAATAAATTTGTATTCACTTTTCTATATGCTTTCATACTTTAATAATAATAATATATCCTGAGGAACGGTAATTAATCCCTACCAAAATAAGAATCTTCCGAAACACCGCAGTATAGTTGAACTCCCTTCATTTTTTTCATTAATTAACGTAAAATTCGAAAGATTGTAGTTATCAAAACTTTATAAGGAGAATTATGTAATATAAACGCATTTCGGGAATAATTATATGTGTCAGGATTACTGGAAACAATCGTTTTGCAAGTCCTCCTTTTAGCAAGGGGAACTGGGAATTTCGTAGTTCTTAATTTTACGCATCCTGCATCCTCCTATTACATTATTGTTAAAACAATAGTTAACTATTATTATCGTGAAGTACCTCAGGAATAACATTATAATCTGTTTTTAGATCGAAAAAATGGGTCGTTTCTAAGGAGGAAATCTGTGTCGTCTGACGGTTACAGAAAACGTTTCTTTAATCATTGAATAAGCCTCCAGCAATCACACGACGCACAGTAACTAAAATGCTTGCCAAACAGAAATAATTTAATACTTACACGATGTGAAGAAATTTAAACAGTAGCCATAGTAGGTACTATGAAAAAAAGGTTTCCACTTTTACGCACTTTCAGGTTAGAAAAACTATGAAATCATTGTTAACATTTGGTCACGATTATTATCGTGCCGTACCTCCGTCAGGAATAACATTATAATCCGTTTTTAACAAAAAAATCAGTCGCATGAGTGAAAATATCAACATTTTCGGAAATTGGCCGCCATCTTGAATTCTGGACATCCTGTTCAGATTTCGAGATGCCAACATCGATATTCGTGTTCAGCAGGTACCAATTAGTAAAAAAAGCCTATTTGGCCAATTGTTGTCTGAAATGCCCCTAGGACAGAGAATCTTCGAAAAGTGAACCAGTCTAGAAGTACAAGATAGGTGGTGGAAATAATGAAAGCGGCAAATTTAATTTAACAAAATGTATTTGGCTCATACGCACAATTTTGGGTAGTTTATAGGATGTCATTTTAAATTTCTTTATTATGATAACTAATGAAACATGGAAACAATGATTTCTAACTGCAGATGCAATAAATACTTACCTAAAATCTCAAAAAAGATTTCATTCTAAATCGCAGCAATAAATACCAAAATCACAAAAATATGAGCGAGAAAGATTTTATACAGGGCGTTCCTAAATATGATGTAAATAAGGAAGGGGCTATTTTTTGGCTTATTTTATGACTAAAAGTTCATATAAACATAGGTCCACAAACGCTTCGTTATCGATCTACAGGTTGTTTCAAAATTTTTTAAGTTTTTCTTTATATCTTCTGCAGTTTTTGAGATATTTCGTTCCACTTTGAAATATAGGTTACGCTGAAGGGCTTACATAATTGGCAGTGAAAAATCTACAGGGTGTTATATTTTCAGGGGTCATGTTTCATTTGTTTACTTTTGAACCCTTTTTCGATATCATAATTATTACTACCAAGTACAAGAGGGCAACTTCACATAACAAATCACAACATGACGTGTTACTTTATCGTATACACCAGAGGAGGCATACAAATAGAAAGGTATATAACAAACCGCATTTTTTTCTGTGAAAAGATACGTTATTTTTTGTAGAGAAGACGTTTATTGGACTACTAAAATGGTGAAGAAACTATGTGAGTGTTATTACAATTTGTTGATCCCATAATTCGTAGATCCACGAAGAAGCAGAAGACACGATCTTCGAACAATTTATATGACTTGACGGTGTAGGTGCGACGCTATGCCTTAACTATTTAATAAGGTTTTGTTTTTTAATTGCATTTATAAAATGTTGACATTCTTTGTCCATTTTTTAAAATAACATTTACCTAATGCCTATGAGTTCACTCACATAAAGTCACTAAATATACAAAGTACCGCAATCCATTGGGCTCGTGTGTTAGAGAGAGAACGCATGATTTTTGCCCAAAAATGGCGGAACTTACCAGATTCTAGTAACTTTAATGTTAGGGATTGTTCCACCTGTTTGGAGATATTTGTATACATTTTTATAAAACATGACAGTACTATGAAGTTAGGTTATGAAAAATGACAGCTATTCATATGTTATTTTTCAATTTTTTTAAGTTGGCAGCAAATTTGCCCAAAAATGGCGGATGATTGCGGTACTTTCTATATCTAGTGACTTTAGTTAAACCATTGTTTATTAAACATATTCAAGTAATGTTTTACATTCATTAAAAATTATCGCAATAAATTCATCCCTATTTGTTATGATCATTAATTGGACAAATTACCCCTTTCTTATTTACGTACCTGAAATGAAATTTAAATTAAAAAGATTTCTTCAAAATTGTCCCGCAAATATACAGGGTGATTCCTATAGTACCTGCCACCGTTTGGGAGCGTGTAGGTGGTGCGTAGGGGAGTATTTTGATATAGGACACTTGGAGTCGGAAATCTAAAATAAGGGTGCCAGAGCCAAATTTACCTTCTGGAATTTCGCGCCTGTAGGTAGGCAACCCAACCGGCCGGCGGGGCACACGGAGCGATCTCAGGCGGCGATGTGTGGCTGACACTTGATCAGAATTTTGTTTAAA